AAAGTTTTATTAGTAACATCTTTCAATTTTTTATAAAAATTTTAATCAGATATGCAAATCATATAACAAATGATCTATATCAGACTCTATCCTTAAAGCATTCCATTAATGTTGAATGTGAGTTGACATGTTTATATATAACAGTATTGATAGACTCTACTTGTTATATTGAGAACATTCTAGCATTAAACTTCTAAAAAAAAAACAACTTAGTTTTAACAATTACAGTTAGGAATTAGAATCAGTTTAGTCGACCACTATATTTAGTCGACTAGTTAACTAAACATAGTAGTTTACTATATGTATTTTTTAGTTAATTAAACTGATTCTGATCCTTAAGTTATAATCTTAATTATCTAAAAAGTATAACATTTAGTCTATTTCTCTTTAATTAGCTATAAAGTACTTCTTAAGTATGATAAGACTTCTGAAAATTTTACACATAATGAATTAAATTATGATTCAAAAATTTCTTTAAATAAAGTATTGTGATAAGCAAAAAAATCATTTTGAAACATAGAGAATTGGGAGCCAAGTAGATGCATCAAATGTTTTTTGATATTTTGAATCACATGAAAAATGCAATATAAGTATTTAGAAGTTGAAAGAGTAGATTTAATTGCTAGACCCAGTTCAGTATCACAGTCAGAATAAATTGTTATAAGTGATAAATTATTTGTAGCTAATAGAAGATTTTTGAGAATCCATATATATAACAAAGTTGTTTTATTAGATATTAGGGCCTGAGCTACTAATCTTAGATGATGAGGTTAATCAACACCAACAAATAAGCATAGGGCCATGTGATATTTGTTAGTTTGTGCTGTATTATTGGTTAAAATAACATCATGATACTTCAAATATAGATTTTGTTGATAAGGTGTCATTCAAAATAAATAAAAAAGATGATTTTTGATATAATTATAAGCTATAAACTATGTTGGATCATCTTCTTTCATTTTTTGTAACTCTTTAAGAAGATTTGATACATTATTTTCAGAATCTTGCTCAGAATCAGTGATATCACTCCTTTAAAACTGTTGGATCACATTTGCCAGATCTTTATCCAAAAACAACTGATCTTTAAATTCTCTACTAAGAAGCTGTCTTAATATATACTGATCAATATTATAAATCATATTTACATAGAACTGGATTTTATTTATTATATTCTGGGAAAACTGTTAATATATATTAGCAAAGCAAATTGTTTCAGAACTAAGTACATGATCATGATGTTCAAAATTCATCTTAGTAATAGCTGGATTTGATAATTAAGTGGCCAGCATATATTAATATAACAAGTGCAATCTGTCTTAATTGATTCTCTGTTATGTTGTTGTAAAGGATCAGTAGCTGTTTTGTTTAAATAAAACTTTTTAGCATGTTGGCATACAAATACATACTTGTAGATACCACTATTTTTATTCAACTTTTTTTCTTGAATCTACTATATAAAACTAGTGCACTGTTCATATGCCAACAATACCAAATATGCATGGTTCCAATAAGCAAATTTCATTCTGACACATAACCCTAAGGCCTTTTCAAAAGCAGCATCAGGTATTATGAGCATTTCAAGCAATCTTCTTTTAGCTATTCCAACACAACTTAAATTACTTTCTTGAATATCATCATTATGACTAACTATTTCATCACCCATATCAGACTGATTTATTGTTAAATATAGTAACATTTAAGCTATATAGAAAGGTTAGAGAATCTAAAAATTTTAATAATAATCGATTGAATGTATGAAACATAAAATACTATAGTCAAAAATGCCATCTTATCATATATTAGACTGTAAGTATAAACTTTTGTTTAAGTTATATTGAACACAGTATTATGTAATAATGATGCTTGAACTGTATAAATAGGGCATAAATTCAAAAAATTTCTAGCAATAATAAGTTAAGTATGCAAAATATAAATATTATAGCCAAAGATGCTATCTTACTATATATTAGACCATATGTATGAATTTTTATTCCAGTTATGCTTTTTTGCAATGTGTCTAATTCTTCTTTACTTTTTGTAAGACAAATATGAGCCAACCTTTATTAGGAAACTGCTTTACAAATAAAGAAAACTATTTACAAACAAAGAAAAGATCAATCATTCTGTAAATACATTATGCATATTTATTTACTTTTTGCATGAAGTAAAATTAAGTAAAATGTGACAATCATATATTAGTATATACAACAATAAATCACATATTAATAGTATAAAATGTTGTTTAAACAAATCAGCCAGGCTGATTTTAAGAAAATCTCTTAATAATAATATTAATAAGTTTATTTGATATTAAGCTTGTTAAAATTAAGAAAATTGATAATACATTTAATATATTATAAATAAACATGTTATTTAGTAGTTTAATTTAATAATATCCCTTAATCTGTAGGCTTTTCTAGACAAATTTGCCTGGAAAATTATTAAAAATATACTTATAATCTACTTTTTTTAAATTTTAAAATATTTAAATAAAATTTTATTTAATAATATTTAAAAATAA